CCCGTGTCCACAAGACGGCGACAGAGACACTCTGCACCTGCAGCCTTCGGGGCGGCTGACCCACGCAGCCTGGTGCACCTCCCCAGGCGGGACCCCCGACACCTCAGCAGCAGGCCTCCTCACTCTCCACTCCCCACACTGGGTACTGGCCCCGAATTCGGTCAGGCGTCTGCCCCTGGTGGCCCTTCCTTCAGGCAGCCCCTCCTCCCTGCCCTGCCCCATGTAGTTGACATCCACTCACCTGCTGGGATCGACCCACATATCCTCTCAGGGGAGTTCTCCGAGATCCCCAGAACAGCTGACACCCACTGCGGGTAGAGGGAGCGCCGGCCGCCTTCCTTCCGCCCTCATCTCCATTCTAGTTAGCTCCTGGCCGCATGAGTTGCACGGGGCGCCCGAGTCCCATCAAAGGTAAATGCATCAGGTGCAGGGACCGGGTGTGTCCTGCTGTGCAGAGTTCCAGGGCGCAGTCAGGGCTGCCCCAGCCGAGGCTCCACACAGCTGGGGGTGGAGCCACAGTGAACGGGGGTCAGACCTCCTCTGTCTGCACAGGGGAGGCACCAGCAACGGGGAGGCCAGCGAGTGCCCACCGCTGCCCAGGGGCTTTACCCTCCCGGAGTCAGGAGGGAGAACAGGGACCTCTGAGCAGTGAGGGGTCAGATCCCCATTGATCCCCAGAAAGGACAACCCCCATTTCTTCCTGTGGCCACTCTCGCAGGGCCTGGGCCGGAGCCTCTGTCCTTGCCCTTCACAGGGACGCGCCCTGCTCAGACCTGGGCTTCCCCACCTGGGAGTCACCTCCAACCAGGGGAAGTCGGGGCGACTGCGTGGTGCCAGGGACCCTGATCTGGGGGTCCTGAAGGCTGCTCCCAAGTCTGAGTGGGGACCAGGGGGGCTTCCATGGAGCATGGGAGCGGACACCCAGGTCCCAGCTTCTGCTTCCATCTCAGAGCAGCTGAAACCCCATGAAGGCCCCCCAGTCCCAGCTCTGGGGAGCCCCTCGAGGCTGACGCAGCTCCTGAGAGCGTGGGAAGGTCTGGACTGGCCTCCCGAAACGTGGCAAGGAGTCCTGGCATTCCGAGGCTTGTGTCCTTGACTTTGTGGAGCAAAGGCGAACCACAGCCCTGCAGGGCCACAGATGCAGGCCACCACCGGGGCTGCGAAGGCAGCGGGACGGACGGACGGGCGGACGGGCAGGCGGGTTGGGAAGCGGCTGTCACAGCGGAGCTGAACCCCAGCGGCCGCGTACCAAAGAATGAAGCTGGGTCCCTCTCCCCAGAGGTGTGGAAGGGCCCCCCACAGGAGGTGCAGCCCCCCCACTCCCTCGCCTCCTTGCTCATCTGTGCGAGGACTCCAGATGGCCCCGTCTTCTGTCTTCTGTGTTCCCCAGGCTCTAAGCAGCCAAGCTGGGAGCGTCCATGGCCAGGCCCTGGGGCGCGAGGACAGCCAGTGCCCTCCGGGCAGACAGGACTTGAGGGCTCAGCTGCTGTGCGCACCTGCGCTCCCCACCTGCACGTCCCGTCCACCTCGGCCCCCCAGGAATACACGCGCTTGGAGAGGATCGTGGGGATAATTTTCCCGCGAGGCCCAGGCGGGCGGGGCAGGCCGGGCACATCAGCACGCGAGGCTCCGCCAGGACACACAGAGCACGCGGAGGGTCCCTTTATTCGGCCCGGCCAGGGGGTCACAGCGGTCACTCCCTGGGAGCCACCCACATCCTGATGTCCCCGGCCTTTGTCCAGGCTCATTCGGGGCTCTCAACAGTGTGTTGGGGTCTCCAGAAAACCGAAAGGGGCCCAAGCCCTGGGCCCAGTGTTCGGAACACCCCATTTCTAATTCCGGCTCTCGAGGTCATCGTCCAGCCCTCGCTGTCCCCCAGGCTGGGGTCGCCGTGGGCCCTCACACAGGCCACACAGGACCAGAGGACAGTAAACCTCTCATGCCTTGGGGCTGATCCGGCAGTAGATGTTCGTGTCGGGGTGTAGCAACTCCTGGAAGAGAAGGAGGAAGCCTCAGCCCCATCCTGCACCTCCCAGGTCGGGGCCCACGGGGCTACTCTGTGGGGGGCCTGGCAGCGCAGAGAGGGGTGTTCCTGCCTCTACCTCCACACCCTCTATTCCCATTTTCCTGCTGTCTCCTGATGGGAAAGCACAGCCAGGAGCAGCTGGGGGCTCCCCTGGGCCTGGGGGACACCCAACACCCACACTCACCTCATAG